GGGTTTGGGGGTGAGGGGGCTGAGCTTGGTTTGAGGCGCACCGCCTCCCTCTTCCAACACACATACACACACACACACACACACACATGCACGTGGGTGCGCGTGTGCACACAGACACACACACATGCACATGCACAAGCACGCAGGTGCGCATGCACGTGCGCATGCATGCAGGCCTGCACACACGCATCAACACGGTCTCTCAGAACGCACCAAAAACAAGCACGCCCGCTGCGCTTTGTCGCGGCATTCAACCCACCATAGAGAGGACCCATCATCAGCTCCACTATGGCCAGGTGGCCTCGAGCCATGGCTCGGTTGACGACATCAACTACAAATACCGAGGCGGGGGCGGCGGGAGACGCGCGGGCGGCTGAAGGGCGCTCGCGGTGCAGCCGCCTACAACAGACGAAACCACAGGTGTTCATAACATGCTGCACGAAAGCGTGCGCTGTAACGTTGCACGGCGTTAATGACCGGCGCAGATGCTGCGCGCCGGGCAGCGGCGGGCTCCAGTCTTGACGTATTGCAGCAGGCGCGAATATTGAGGCAGCCCGCCTCTCATGCTCCAATAACGGGCCGTGGGCCATCAAAGACGTCAACGACGCCCGTGGGTCACCACATATGGCCCTGTGACCCACCACAGACGGACCAGCAACCCACCGCAGATGGCCCAGCGACCCACCGTGCAGGGGGTCCCGAGGCTGCAGCTGCCGCGCGCCATGCAGGCGGTCAAGAAGGTGCTCCAGCACATCGAGTCGCCCCGCCTCCGCCGCAGCAAGCAGCAGCCCGCGCGCACCAAACGGCAGCGCCTCCGCCTCCTCCGCCGCACCCGCACCCGCGCCCGGCCCGACGGCCGCGGGGGGCGCAGGCCTGGAAGGGGAAGCGGGGCCGCCGCCGGCCGCGGCGGCCGCGGCGGCCGCCGCGGTCTCCAGGCGGCGCTGTCGGCGGGCGGCGCGGCGGCGCTCGAGGCGGCGACGGCTCTCGCGCTGCTCTTCCTCCAGCTGCGGCGGCCGGAGCCAGTTTGGTGCGGGCGAACGCAAAATGTGGCACGCTCTGCTCTCAGCACGTCCGAATTGATGGGCTGGGTGCTGGCACTCACCAAATCATCCATCACAACAGACGGCACACAGGCCTCCCAACCAAATGACCTGCCCCCCTCCTGCCTGTAGCAAGTGCCGAGTGGACGGCCCCCCTCAAAAGGCTGCGCCCCACCACCCTTCAGGCCGGCCACTCAGGCAGCGTCCACCCCCGCGTCCCTGCTGCTCTCGAGTAAGGCCAGCAGTCCGCACCTCTTTGAGCAGTCCGAGGTTACCGGACTGCACCGCCACCAGCATCCGCGCCTGCAGCCGCGCATCAAAGAGCTCCTCCCGCCCGACCAGCGCGCCCTCGCAAGACACGAGGCCGGCCGACAGCGCGGCGGCGGCGGCGGAGGCGGCGGCGGCGCCGTAGGAGTGCTCCAGGGCGGCCTGGTGAAATGGTGTGCAGGGCGGTGTGAATGATGTCATCTTGCCTTCCACGCAACACACCCGAATGCGTTGTGAGGCTAGAAAGCTTGCTGCATCGTTGCATGCGCACATATCAAGAGATTTGTTTGGCGCACTGATGACAACGCGTCGACGGTGCCGTTGAAACGGCTCTGCCGCCGGCGCATGGGGCAAATCACAGGCTCTCGTCACCAAACGCCCCCGTCTGCCCGCCCGCCTGCCCAGCACACCTGCATGACTCCCCAGTATTGATCCGACACCAGGAGCGGCTGCGCGCGCAGCGGGCCCCCCTCCTCCGGCCCTATCCCGCTGAGTGCCCCCTCGAGCCAGTACCACTCCAGCAGGCTCGCAGGCCGCCGCTCGGAAAGCAGCCTCAGCAGCTCCCGCCGGTCAGCTTCCGGGTAGCTTCCAGCGGCGCCGGGTGACGTCAGCGAGAGGAGCAGGGTGGCAGCTTCCAGGGCGCCCTCCGAGTCGGCGCTCTCCACGAGCACGTGAGTAATCTCGGCCGCCGCGCGCGCCGGCGGCCGCAGCAGGCCCGGCGCGGCGGCGGCGAGGCGCGGGAGCAGCAGGCGCGCGAGCGGCGGGGAGCCGAGGGCGTGGCGCAGCAGCACACGCTCGCTGCCGTGGCGGGCGGCCAGGTCCAGTGCGAAATCCGCCATCTGGGGTGTTTTTATGGGGGGGCAAAGAAGGCGATAGAGGTGGGGCCGGGCGGGGTTGTTGATTGATGTTCGTTTGGGGGTGTGGAGAGACGGCCGCGCCTTGCGCAAGCCGTGGCGGAAGCAAGCGCGAGAAGGGCCGAGCTGCAATTCGCATCGTCGCTGCAAGAGGCCGGCGCGAGGCCTCAGCGCGGCGGACGGTCCAGCCCTCGGGAATGCAAGGCGCGGCGTGTCGGCGGGGCGCTGAAAGGCTGTGCGCGCATGTGTGCGTGCCTCCAGTGTCGCGGAGCCGATGCTGCTGAGGAACCGCTCGGTCATGAGCGCCGTCAGCCGCGCGGCACTGCCTGGGCGCGACTCCAGGGTCGCCAGCACGAAGCGCGCCATCGGCGCCGCGCCGTCGTCTTTGCGAGCTGCGGCGCGGGGCGTCGGTGTCGGGCGCGGGCGGAGTCGCACGGCAGCGCGAAAGTTCAGGGGGCGGCGCGGCGCGGCACAGCGCGGGGGGGTGCAACGATTCTGTGTCAAAGAAAATTCAAGCCAGGCTAAGAGGCGCCCGGGGCCGAAAAGCCAGCCGCGCAGCACGTGGTTTGACAGGTCAGCGCAGTGGCGTGAATGCAAGATTACGGCGCATACACCCCACGAGCGTCCTTGTGCGTGCGAGCGCAAGCCATTCGCATAGGTGCACGCGTGCGCCGTGCGCACGCACCGAACGCCGCGCCGAGGAGGGGGAGCAGCGCGCCCACGGCGGCTGCGTCCCACGCGTGAGACAGCCACTTCGACTCGCGGATGAACTGGGGTGTCCCGTACTCCACCGCCCAATCCAGGTGGCCGGAGACAAGAACGAGCTCCGGCCGGCAGCGCTCGACCGCCTGGGGCTGCAGGCCGGGCGCGCCGCCGGCGACGGGGCCTGTCTGGGTCGCCGCCTCGGCCACAGCCGCGATCAAGACGATCGCGGCGTCGGCGGCGGCCGCGCGGCCGCGCTGCGTCGCCGCCATGAGGGCTGCGGCGCGGTTTTGGGGCGCCGGCGGGGGTGGGTGGACGGGTGGGTGTGCGTGGCCGAGGAGCGGCCGCGGCGCCTCGGCACGAGGCCGGCTGGGGTGCCGGATTGCGGCTCCCAGGTGGCGGTGGCGGCCTGGCGCCATGCAGGCCGCGACAACCCAGCCATGCTCGTTGCATGCACGTTGCTCGAGGGCCCGCCCCGCGACTGCCCCGCTGCTCCAGGGTGCGCGGCGCCTGCCGGCCGCTGCGGCGCCCGCCGCGTACCTGAGTACAAGACATCGTGCATCGGGGCCGGGTGGCGCTGCGCAAGCCACGGCAGCAACCTCGGCGCCGGCGCCTCCAGCAGCGGCGCGACCAGCGCCATGGCCCCCGAATGGCCGCCTTGGGCCAGGTATGGGAGCAGCAAATGGTCGCTGTGGGGGCACAGCAGCAGCAGCGCGGCGGCGGCGGGGCGGGCGTTTTCGATTATAGCGATCGCTGCCGCCGTGTCGTCCGGGTCGTCCAGGCCGTCTGGCGCCCGCTGCTGCTGCTGCTGCTGCTGCTGCTGCTGCTGCTGCTGCTGCTGCTGCTGGTCGAATTCAGACAGCAGCTCCCCCACGCGTGCCGCCGCCGCGGCCGCCTCGTGCGGCGTGCTCCCAGGGCCGGAGGGGTCGAGCATCCCGAGCTCCTGCTGCCGCAGCAGCACCGCCCGCAGGAAGCCGCACAGCCGCCGCAGGCCCGCCGCGGCGGCGGAGAGCTCGGCAGGGCGGCGGGTGGCGCTGGCGTCGTGGGGGCGGGGCCAGGCTGCGACGGCTGCATACTGCCACAGGCGGTCGGGCGCAAGGCGCTCTGCCCAGGAGAGGAACCAGCGGACGAGGAAGGGCTCGGTGATCGCGTCGCGCAGCGTCGACGAGGCGGCGGCGGCGGCAGAGAGGTCCGGGAGCTTCTCTAGGATGCGTTGCTGCAGGTCGGGGCCCAAGTCGACGAGCGCACTGCTGCTGAAGCTAGCTGCTGGCGGGCTTGCGGGGCCTCCCGACCCGGCGGGGGCGGTCGCCGACGGGGCGCTTTGCATGACGAGTGCTTCGTCTAGACTGGGTCACTGGCAATGGTGAAAAACACCGCAGAGTGTGTGCTACGCTGTTGTACGTGGAGCGACATCAGCGTTGTTGAGAAGTGACCTGCCAAAGAACGGCAGATGTCATGCACTATGAGACGCCATATCTGTCACACAGTGGTCATATGCAACTATCAGGAAGCGAGTACAGCCACTCTACGGTGCCCAGCACGACTTTGCGTCCTTCAGATCACACCTGCACAGCACGCTCCGCACGACGGCCTGGTCCGACGGCAGACAGGCAGACACGACCGAGATGAGCTCAGAGACCTCTGACGACACCAGAAACTTCAGCGGCCCCACCAGCAGCGTCGCCCACACGGCACCGCCCAATGATCAAACGCAATTACCTGCTTTACGCCTGGAGTGCATGCTGCAGCACGTGCTGTCTGCCCAGAACCTCCAATCAAGATCACACGCGCCGATCGCCAGAAGCCGAGGCCGCAGTTGAGGGCGTGGCTGCCGCAGCCGCCGAGCTGGAGGGACCTCTGCGCCCGCAGCATCTGCAGCTGATTGGGAAGCTGGGGCGGCGCCTGGGTGAGGCGGCGGCCCAAGGCGAGGACGCGGAGGCGGCGCTCTTAGTGGACGCTTGCGCCGCCACCCTTGAGGGCGGAGACTGCGGCAGTGGGCCTTCAGGCTCCAGGGCAACCGCCAACCAGGAGCGCTTTTCTCAGGTGCGGTGCATGTTTCGCTGCGATGGTGCGGACGGACAAACATTGGGCTAATCAAAGCCTTGGTATAAAGCTGAAAAATGTGCTTCATTGCCACATATGATTGCCTGCTGACCTGGACCCTGCCGACCTGGACCCTGCCGACCTGGACCCTGCTGACCTTGACCCTCAATTCGCCCCTGTCATCAACCCCCGCAGCTAGCTGCGTTACCCTCGTTGGTGCCCAGCATCCTCGCCTGCCTCTTAAGCTGGCCGGGGAACTCCAGCGTCGCACTGAGCTCGGCATCCCTCATCTCGCGTCTCTGGTCGCCACCCGCCGTCGCCACCCTGCTGTTACGTATCGCCCCTGAGCCCCTGCGCGCCGTTGTTCGCGCGCTGGCATCGGCCGCCGAAAACAGCATGGAGGCCGCGGCTGCCGCCCTCGCCCTCGGGTTGCTCTCAACGCTGGCGGCGCTGCTCGACGTGCGGCTGCGCCAGGGCGACCAGGGCTCGGGCGCGACCTGCGCCCGAGAAGCTGCCACGGCCGCGTTCGGCGCGATGGCCAAGGCGCTGCGCGGGCCGCTGCGCCAGGAGCCAGACCTTGTGAGCGATGCCGCACGCAGCTTGGTGGGGCTCGCGCGCTGCAACGACGCGGCGTGCGCCGCAGCCGCGTCCACGCCGCACCTCGCGGCGGCACTGGCGGCCGCCCTCGCGGGCGGCCTGCTGCCCAACGCTCTCGACAGCGGCGGCGGGGGTGACGCGGCGGCCGGCGCGGGGACCGAGCTGCAGCTGCAGTGCGCCTCGCTAATCAGCCGCATGCTGACTGTCAAATCCATTGAGCTGCGGACCCAGGTTGCGCACGAGGTCGCGGACGTGCCCGGGGTGCTGGCCGCGCTTGTGAGGCTTTTGGCCAACCCAAATCCCACCACCGCCGCCGACACGGCGCGGGCGCTGAGCCTGATCGCCAACTTGACCCCGGCGGCGCGCGGCGCCATCATGCGCCTGCCTGTCTTAGCGGCTCTCGTGAGCATGCTGCGGCGCCACGACGGCCGTGGAGCCGACCAGGATGCCGCACGGCACAGCGCGATCATGCTTGCGTCGCTGCTCGCGCGGCCCGACGACTCCTGGCTCCCGTGCTTTTGCTTCTCAACGGTCGACCTCGTCAGACTGATGGTGGCGACCCCCTGCGCGACGACGATGCTCGCGCGGGAGTTGGCTGAGTGCGACTTCGCGCCGGCGGCAGGGCTCGACTCAGTGATGCATGCCACAGCCGCTGCCAGCCTCGTTTGCTCCATTGCATTGGCGGCCAGCCATTGTCGCGACGTCACGCAACCCACAGACTGGCTCGCAGCCATGGCGCCAGCCCTATTGCCCGCTGTCGCCCAGGCGCTCGAGCGGATGCTAGACAGCCCCTATGACCTCAATCCCTGGTTCGCAGAGCCAGACCTATCGAGCCCGGCAGCCGACGTTGGCAAAGGGTGCATAGCTCTCGCGACGACCGCATCGCTGCTGCTTGCCAACGTCGAAGCTCAAACAGGCGGCGCCATGCAGACTGTGCGATCAGCTGCTCCCGGTCTGGTGCTTTCGTTGCGGCACGCCGTGCAACGGGTGAGGCCAGCAGATGCAGAGGGCGCCACCTATATGCAAGACGCGTTCTTGCTGCGTTTGGAGAACGTGTTGCGCCCGTTGGAGGCGGGGCAGCAGGGAAAAGCGTCGCCGCCGCAGGAGGCGGCACCGCAGCAGCAGGCAGTGCCAGCTCCGGCGTCAGCGCTCGCCGGCACCGCCTCTGCGGTTGCCTCGACCTTAACGAGCACCTCGCAGCAGCAACCGCGCTGCGGGACGTGCGGCAAGACCGCCGCGGACGGCGCGCGGCTGCGGCTGTGCAGCGGGTGCCGTGCGGCGCGCTTCTGCTCTGACGCCTGCTACAAGGCGGCGTGGAGGGCGGGCCACCGGCAGGAGTGCAAGGCGGCAGTAGCAGCGGCGGCGGCAGCTCGTGGGGGGCCAGGGGCGCAGGCAAGGTAGGATTAGGATTAGGATTGTTACACGATCCCGCGGTCG